ATGGGCCGAACTGACCGAATGGAGACACGAAAATGGCGCAAAAAAGTGACATAAAGCCAAAGTAAGATGTCAGCGAATTTGACGGCTGTTTCCTCTAACAAGATTTTGAACTTTGAATAAGTAGCCATAAGCTCTTAATGCTGGGCACTCATTTTCGTACTCATTCCTCCTTTTCTGCCACAGGAAACATGGCAGAGGAAAAGACGGTCGAATGACAAACGGGAGAGACGCGAATTTCGCGCAATTTGGTCCGTCAGTCGCATCTGATGCGACTCTCCTCCGCAGACGCACGACAGGCGTGATTGGAAACGGAATGGAATTCGAGATTGAAAAAAGGAATTGAAAAATTATTCAACAGAGACTAAACGGTTTTGAACTTTGGGCGTTTCTACGCCACGAAAGCGATTGTATGTAATTGAACAACGAACAAAGGGGGCGCAAAGAATGAGCGGCAGGGAAAGGGAGCCGACGGGACGGATGAAGCAGAAGAAAGTCCGAAGTGGCACCGAAATGAGGGAGGCGGAGGAAACGCTAGGAAGTCTCCCTTTCTCTCCATCGCGCTTTCAGTATTTTGATTCTGATCTAATCCGTCATTCGCTCGGCAACCGTTAATCGAAATCATTTGATGAGGATTAGCGCGCGGACCCGACCATAGTTATTCGATAACGGCAGCTAATAAGAAAATAGATTCGGCCACCCTTGAGGGATCGTCGCCCGGATCATCGCGCGACACATCAGCAATTAGCCCTAGTCGCTGACGATGTCGCAATACACGCATTTGTTTGCTCGGTCGATTTTGAAACAATGCCAAATCGTCATCACCCATGGGGTGGGGAAACAATGGCGCGCTCCGAGACTCCTGAACCCAGGGCTACGGATCGAGCAGATACCTGAGTATCAGATTCGTGATTTCAAATGCCTCAATCGGAAAAGTTATAACGATAAAAATCCCCTCCGTGCCGACCTTGAGACATTGTTTCGAATTCGACAGCGATCGATAAATTAAACCAAACTAAGCTAACCAAATCAACAAGTAATCAGGCACGAGCCGGAGAAGTCACTCGCGTGGGCGACGCAGAGTCCTTAACCCCTGATCCCGCCCACCGTACACCATAATGCCATTGTGTCCGATTGATAGCAATGACGACGTCCTGCCAGAATGCTTTAGCTGCCAATCTGCCTGTTTCTTGATTAACGACGACCGGAGATTCCTATTTGTCGTCATCTTGTCACCGCAGCGTGTCATTGTGTCGTCGCATCATGCCACGCTCTGGCAAACGTCACCTCAGGTATCCGCCGAGGGCGAGGAGACCTGCTTTCGAGGCGACTGCCTCACCACAGCCTGCTAATCCACCGACGATGGGAACTTTGTTCTCCATGTGGGTGCGCGTGTGACAATTATGACCAGCAAATGGAAGACAAACACTAAGTGATCGAAATCAGCGTTCTTCCGTAATCTAAACATTCAATTCAGCTGCGGGCCACCAACAGAAAAGCCGTTCTCATAAATTTTGTATTAACTATTAACGCAAGTCATCAAACGAAATCGATGGCTTATTTTCGTCCTTGCGGGAATCGATTAAATACGCAAAAATCTAGTCTGATTTACTGACACATTACCAGTACACTAAAAATTTGCCCTTATTCCGAGTATCAATTAGCCATATTCGTCTACGCTCTGAGTAGGCTTACCGTACGACGTGACAGTGCACCCGCGATCACTTTGTAGCAAGAGTAAGGTTATTACAGAAGGTGCGACTTGTACGTATTGTACCTGTTTGAACTGTTCTTCGAATGACCACGAAGTCTGCGGGGTAGACGATGGCTCGGTCATCGATGCCGGAGTTGAGCTGGCCACCGGTTCCTTGGCATCAGTGGGATGCAGCGTTTGAGGTGAAGTACGAAGCGACAGGTCCTGCGGTTCCGCCGAATTGATGAGGTCCTCGTTGGACGGTTCCTCAGGGGCAGCCGCAGAGGCTGCGACCGTCGACGTCGTCCGCCAGTTCACTGAGTTGGTAGACGGCGGTGGTTCGCTTCGGCTGTTCTGCGGAGATCTGTGGTGGTACATCTTCAGGCTCATCGCCGAGTCAGACGACGGAAGACTGGCACTGCTGGTGTTCATCAGAAACGGGTGTCGAGCGGGAACGTACTGTAATCCACCAACTACAACAATAGAGACGATTAACAGCCGAGCGGTGCAGAGCGTTTCTAACGACGACCGACCCAGAGTCGTATTAAATCAACAACGACACGCAGCTGCTCTGCAGACGAAACAGTTTGTTGCGTCGAATAATTTATTGTCACGATTAATAAGTTGTTGCTACCTGGTCAATAATGGCTGTTCTCACTCTCCATGACCCAGCAATTGCTCATAAGCACGTTATCGAAATATGACAAAATTGATATTAAACGGAGGTTCATGCATCTCGACGAGCCATCCTTCCAAGATATGTCATCTCAACACCGCGGTTCATTGGCGAAATTGGCCTACACCCCAGGAGGCGCGCAGGTGGTGATGATCACACTGCCTTCACAGAAATTCCGATCAATAACGAATGGTTAGATTTCGAGGAGGTTTGAGGTCAACACTGAGGTCACGTTGGTAACGTATAACACAAGTGGGAAATATACTCACTTAAAGAAGGCGATGCTCCTGCGACGAGGTCGTTTTGGGCTTTCTCAAGCCATGCGTTTCTGCGGGCCTCAACGATTTCACGTTCTGCGTTTTCCTGATCCTCCTTCTCGTCACCCTAAAAAATTTGTATTCTTCAATCTATGACCGTGCAGACGCTGGTATATCATGACGTCATAGAACGAAGAATGGAGAACATGATTTTCATACCAAGATATCGAGATTTCGAGGATCAGCTGCAGCTCCACGTGATCGAAAAAACTCTTTCATAAGATTTCAACGCTAGCTCAAAATGGTAAATATTTATATTCAGCAGTTCAACCGCTAGCATTCAAAATTGGTTGACCCTTTGAGACTGCTGTCACACGTCAGAGAATCTGAGTGTCAAAAAGTTTCCAAATGGCAAGTCATGTAACGAGGTGACGAAAGTCCAATACACTTTTGCCTCGAATACTAAAGACGTGACTCAACTCGTACCTTCAAGCCAAACTTAGGAGGGAAAAGCCATCAGTATTTCATATATGGGAACGCTAGCTATCTTCCAATGTTTAGGAATGCCAAAAATTTGCGGAGGAGCAGCGAATGAGAATTTATAGTCTTTGTTTCTTGTTTCTACATCAATGGTGCACAAGCAGCATATACATAAAGTTAACAAGAGAAGTCAAAAAAATTATGAGGTTCCCATGACTTACTTCCGGAAGAAACTATCACGTCAAGACGGCGAAACTAGTATAAGTAAGAAGCATTCAAAAAACCTGTGCTCTACCTGTTTCGGTCAGCAGTCTGAATCATTTTCACAAGTGATGCATATGTCAAAATCTTTATATTCACTGAAAGGAATTGAAGGAATGGCTCTAGGAAACCGGTTGAATATAAAATAGGCAATGTCGTTATGGCAAAATGTTTAAATTCATTTAAATTTGGCCCAGCGAAAGCCATCGTCATCCAGAAGTCACATTAAGCGTGAGTAAGTCTGAGTATAGAATGGGAGGTGATAAGCCGTATTTCTGGTGGTGCCCAGCTGCTATGAATTTGAAACATGCGAAACATACAAAGACAATGAAAATACGGTCCGGTGTTTTAAACTTTCAATTTCATAAGCGAAACCGGAAAGGAAAGGTACGAAGATAGATTCAATCTACAGTTGCTGGAGATATGTCGTTCAGGTTCAAAATTGCCAGGCCCGGTCTTCTCGCTGTAAGGACTGCTACCCCATGTTCTCGAGGCCACGGCTATGGAGGAGTTTGCTGGTCGTTCGGTTCGCATGTACTTCTGCATAAAGAATTAGACAAAACGTTTACATATATGCTGATCGATTCGAAAACTGATCGCGCTTTTCTTAAACGGAAAAAAAGAAATATCTGGCCATCGAAGGAAAATTTCAGCAGCAAATCAGAACGTTCAACAAAACTGGTTTTAATATGGTTTTGAATGAGATCGACAAAATGCGGACATTCTGTATTCTAGCAGTAGTTGCTAGTTGGAACGCCTTAAAGCAGCAGAAATTCGCTTAGATATCTTAGAAAAGAAAGAGGGATTCTGCTGCTCGATGAAAAGGTATGCCTTCGACTTATATCGCTGAGGAAGGGTGCGCAGACTAAGCTGCGTTTCCCTTAACCGAGGAGGGGTGGAATGATCGATTACGTCAGAAATCATGGCTATTCTTGGTGAAACTTTAGCACAGTATGGACTAGTTCATTCGCAATGCTGAACATGGAAAATCGGCTTTTCAATCTATAGAAGAAATTGCAGAATAAGCGCCATAAACAAAAACGTTGCTATTGTCTGTGGGAGCCAAAGTTGGTGCAAAATCATCACTGCCGAGGCCATTGTCCTGTTCAGATATCCTGAAGTTGAACCAAATTTGGCCATGACATATGAAATTGTTCAGATAAAATGATCTTTATTCCAGGATCCAAAGTTCATTGTGACACTATAAGTAACTCAGATTTTAACGAACCACCAGGTGTGCATAGAAAAATAAAGAAGTGACATCCAAGCATATGTGCCGAGAAAATCTGCTGTATAACAGCCTCTCGACACGCGCAAGATGACGGCGAAGTGAGGAACATATCTCTTCCGGTCGTACCTCATTGGAGATGGAGCTGGGCGTGTAGACGCTGGAGTTGTCGTTAGAGGTGGCGGACTTTGCGTTCGGACTGAGCTGATCAGACTTGACACTCACCGGACTGGTGCTGGCTTTGATCACGACGTCGTCACTCATCGCCTGAAAAGCGTAGGGTTGGGTTATATAAGGGCACCCAAGGAGCTGCGATCGGTTGCTCTCGTCAGTGCATGCTGTGTGTATGTATTTGTAGGGAAACAGCGAAACTCACGGAAGCGGTCGAGGTCTGGGACGGCGTTGACACTGCGGCAGCGGCGGCGGCGGTGGCAGTGGCGGCGGCAGCAGCGGCGGCAGCGGCGGCGGCGCTGAATGCTCCGGGCCAGGACAACAGTGATGCTGAGAAGGGACAGGGGAAAGGCCATGACGAAGGAGTGAGCATGAGGAACGGAGGGCAACAGAATGCCAACGGAGACTGCGGCTGATCACAGACGACTGAGGAGGTCGGTCCACTTCCGTCTGTCCGGTCCGGTCCGGTCCACGTCCGTTGTGCTGTCAGGAAAATTCACGCGCGCGTTCACTCGCGAAACGGGACGGACGGGACGGGACGGCGGGACAACGCACGGAACGTAGCGGGAGGAACACGGACGAATGACGGACGAATGAACAGACGAGCCGACGGAACGTATCGGTGATGAGGCAAGTTCGCGAAGGGGCAGTCCTTCCGTTACTTTTCTGTCATGCAGACAAACAGACAGACGTTGTTGAACGACGACTTTGGCGGCGGCGGCCGCTGCTGCAGGAGATCCAGAAAACGAGCGCTGATGAACCTCTCTGCCTCAAAGGACGCACCTCGTGATCCTCCAGGTTTTTTTATCACTAGACAAAATACACCAAGGATGACGGCGGCGGACGTCAGGAGCTTGCAACAAACTTGATATCAATTTGCTGCCAGCCAATCAATTAACCAGCATTCGAAAGAAGAAGGCTCGCTGTCGTCGTCGTTGTCACCACCGCCGTCGCCGTCGTCGAGTCGAGGTCGAGGTACGCGTCAGTAGTCAAGTCCGGCAGTCAGTGCATCAGTCAAGATGGAATGGAACGAAGGAGAGGAAACTGGTTTTCCGCCCGCGAAATCTGGCGTTGCCGCATGGCATGCTAAGAAATCAACTTTTAACATATGATCATTTATTTTTTATTGGCCCGCCTCTGTCGCCGCCGCTTCAACTGCCCCGCTAAGTTTCACGCCGCCAACAGTAGACGCCAATCATTGTCGACCATACTCATCGATTATTGGTAGATCTACAATCATGCTCCGCCCCTCTGCATAAGCTGATTCGATCGTTGCGCCACCGATTCAGCGTATCAACGGTGAGGTTTAATTTGCAGCAACAGGAGGTCGCAGTGGTGGCGGGTGACCAACCAAAAACGGTTGTCCTTTCCATCCCGCCGGCCTCACCCCGTGCCGTCAGCCGGAGGTAATGTAAAAATTAACGTAAATAACTCTAAACGTAATTAGCGATTCATAAACGTTCATTAATTGGCTGAAGCACTCAGAACGACAGCGGTATTTACGTGTCGCCGAATGCTTGCAGCCCTACCTGGACGTTCGTATGACCACGAACACAGTGGTCGGGTGAAAGCGTCAAACGACGCATGATATTCACGAAAATGAGCGCCAACAATAAAACCGAAAGGATGATAATAGCGTATTAAAGCAATATATGCGCTATTGATCGGTTTCGCAAACTGCGTTAATACTTAATGGCGGTTATTATATTTAATAATCAAACGATGGCAGAGACGGTGAGTCGGGTGAAGGCTGGAGCCGGCCGGACAGGGATGACGGGAAAGCAAAATTCAATTCCTAATTACACTTACTGCCGCTGACACCGTCGTCCGCATGAACCGGCTGACAGCCCAGTGGCACAATGACTAGTGGCGAGGCGCGCGCACTAAATATAGCCCATACCGCCTCACCTGGGTCATCGGTAAAATGGATCATTTTCAAAAAGCGATTTCGATTTCACTCATCGAGTAATGAGTAAGTGCTTTGAAGAATTAAAG